TTAGTAAAGAGGAGTAGGGAGAAAAAAAAACCAAACAAACAGATCCCAACTCAGAAGTACTTCCAGCTTTTGGTCTTAAGACAAGTGTTAAAAGTTGGCGTCTGGGTGATACAGAAGTTGGAAGAAAGGGTTAAAGAATGATGGGGGGAGGAGAGCACCTTCTGCTTTAAACCGCCTTCCTGGATCTAAGGTGTTCCCAGTTTCCTCACTGCCAGTCCCCCAGCCTTGTTCCCTGCTCCCAGCCCTCACACATAGTCTCCCCTCCCCTCCCCCACTGAGGTCCTGGGGCCTCTGTCCCTGGTGGAAGGAACCCAAGTTGCTCCTCTCAGCTCCACGATGCCCTATAAACTGGTTTCTACAATTGCCGAAAGAACACAGGTAATTAAGGACTAGAACTACGAGAGACAGACCAAGCCTTCCTCCTCCAGCAGTGTGTTTGGGAGGCAGGTCCTTCCAATGCGTGTTGGAGGTGGGGGGTACTCTGAGGACCTGCTTTAGTCACATGATGTGGGGGCAAATGCCTACCCTTTGTGGAAGGTCTGAACCAGAACAGTCATTCACATACAGGGTTTCACATGGGGTACTGAGCATTCCACATAATAATGTAAACATCAGTTTTGTTGTGGGGTGGGTACAATTCTTTATAAATTACCATACTGTTTACCAGTTGCCTAAACCAGAGGTGGGCTACTGATTACAAACACAGATTCCAGGACCTCACCCCCAGAGTCTTTGTTTCGATAAGTTTTCTGTTATTTTTTAAATAGATTTTAGTTATTTATTCTTAGAGAGAGGGGAAAGGAGGGAGAAAGAGAGGGAGAGAAACATCAATGTGTGGTTGCCTCTTGCATGCCCCCCACTGGGGACCTGGCCCGCAACCCAGGCATGTGCCCTGGCTGGGAATCGAACTGGCAACCCTTTGATTTGCAGGCTCAATCCACTGAGCCACACCAACCAGGGCCAGTTTCTGCATTTTTAATTAATAGCCATAGGCTGATGGATTTCACTTAGAAACCTTTCTAAAAGGTCTCTAAGAAACAGTCTGTGGGAGCCAGGCAGTGGCAGACTGAGAGGCGGAGGGCTGGCGGTGAGGTGACTGGCCTTCCCCAACGTGCTCGGCAACCTCCTTCCATTCCCATTCTCTGATAAAGACAATTCATGTTCCCTCAATTGTGGGTAAAGCACTCGAAAGCGCATCTTCAAGAAGAGCGCCCCTAGGCCCCTCCTGTGGCATGATCGAGGTCTCATGGGGCCCAGGACTTGAGAAAGAGGAGATATAAAGCCGATGGTAAGGAGAATAAGCACTCCCACATCAACGTGGACAAGGAAAGGGGCAATTCGGAAGGGAGTTTGTGAAGGGTCTGCTAATAGTTGCTAAGAGTAGTAAATATGCGAATGAGTGCTAAGATTTGTTTCTCTTTTGTGATTAAAAATTTTCAGAATGTCTGTTACACCCCACCTCCTGTATTCAGTATGTAGGAGAGTATCCAGGCTTTGGGTGGAGCATAAAGCTGGCCAGAGATGCTGCTGCACCAGGATGGACGGAGAGGAAACCTGGAGGATTCATTGTGGACAAGGGGTAAAAGCCCTTCTCAGAGAGCTTCTAAAGAGTTCTAGTAGGATAGAATTCTAGTAGTAATGAAGGATGGGGCTTAAATTTTTGTACAGATTTTAAAGGAGGGCAGTCCCCAAATCTAAAACCTTGGGGCTATTTGGGTTCCATTCCCTTCTGCTTATTTTTCCTTGGCTCCCACCCAGATGCCTGGTTACCACCTGTGACTCTAGACCCTTACGGCATGTCCCAAGCTGATATTCCATGGAACCCTGTTCCTTAGTGGTGCCCCTACAGTAAAGTTCAATGTTCAAATCAGTTTGCAAAATCTTTTGTTAAATGAAACCAGTCAAGCTTCTCTGTTGCTAGGTTTCTCAGAACTTTGTGCTTTGTGGATCTTGTGGTTCTCCAAGGGAAGAAATATAATTAACAATGTCTCTCAGACTTCTGATCATGAAACTTTTTTCTTGAATCACACTCATTAACATTTTCCAGAACAATGTTCGCCTGAAGGCAAGTAGGAAAAATGCTGTTACTTGTCCTCCAGTGTTTTTCCTCTCCTTTTTTGTTTGTAATTGGACCCAGAATTTTAGCTAGGCACATGCGTCCCACCCCGTAGAATAAACCCTACATTTCCCCCTGTCCCTTGCCATTAGATGTGACTATGTGACCAACTTAATGCAAGTGAGGAGTAAGTGGAAATGATGTGTGAAACCCGGGGATGTGTCCCTAGAAGGCAGTGCCACCCCCTGTTTGTGCCTTTCTTCTCCCAGCTGGGTGGAATGCAGATGTGATGGCTGAGGCTGCAGCAGCCATCTGGATTGTGACTTGGAAATCACACTCTGAGACAGAAGTCAGAGCCTTGAAGCACCTGGTTGATCCTGGACTAGTTACCCCAGGCTTTCTTTTACATGAGAAATAAAGTTCCATCTTCCTTAGACTACCGTTACTTTGAGTTTTCTGTCATCAAGCAGCCATGTGGGAAATGTGTAACAATCATCTCTTTAGATAGACTTCTATTTATACAATGAAAATACTTCTGCAAGATGGTGTGCAAATCAAAATAAACTAATTGGAAAATTCATCAACAATTAATTGTGTGCTTTTATCTTTGTGGCATTGTGCAACACATATCCAAAACAGAGCAGTTTAAATTCTGAAAGGATACCCAGAATAAAAGTTTTTAGCAAGTAAATAATAATGTCTTAGTTGTTCATTTTCATGCTCTGGAATTACAGTATTTTGTACAGAAAGAGATGCATTTTTGAAGCCTTTTCCAGGATTCTCTGTCCTTCCTACACCTTTTTCACCCCAAAATGTTTCTCCTCCTATCAATTAGAAAGACACAGGTACATGAGGTCTGTCCAGAAGGTATCCAGCCATGTAATATAAAAAATAGAGACATTATTGAAGAAGATACAAGAAATATTGTCCATAAGACAATGATGCCCCAGTCCCCTTCAAAGCAGGCACCTTGGGACCTCACACAGTTTTCCCAATTGCTATCAGCTGCATCGTCCATATTTTCCTGAATTTCATTGATGGTGTCTCTTCCCTGTCAAGGTGATTTTTAGTTTTGGAAAAAGCCAGAAGTCACAGGGTGCCAAATCTGGGCTGTAGGGGGACAGAGTCACCTGAGTGATTTGATCTTTCACAAAAAAACTCTGCATGAGATGTGATACATGGGCAGGCATGTTGTGATAAAGCTGCCAATCACCAGTTGCCCGTAGCTGTGACTTCTGAATCATTGGAATAGTTTCTGTGGAGGAATCTTCAAGCTTAACACACAGTTTGATGCAGATTCATTGCTCTATTTGCTCAGGAATTTTGAATGCAATAGCCACACAGTACACATACTCACTCAACAGTGTCTACCACCCCCACTGACTAGTACAGTGAAGGCATCATTGTTCACACATGTGCATTCCAGTCCACTCTCCCTGGCTGCCCTGTTATATCAATGTCACACAAACCATTCTGATTATATTAATAATAGTTGGACTTTTTCCAGACAGACCTCATATGTAGAGCAGACTATGTAAAGGTCTCACCAAAAGGTAAATTTTTTCAGAGCAAGAAGCCATAATTAAGTCTGTTTTCCCATTCCTATATCAAATAACCAGAAGACGGTAGCAACAAAAATAATTCTGTCATCTCAATACCTTGGTCTTTCACGAAGCCCTCCTCCACTCATTTTCCACGTAGATTTCCAGTGCATACCACAGTTCAGTAGTTTCCAAATTTTGTTGCATTTTAGAATCACTGGAAGAGCTTTTAATAATCCAAAACCCAGATCCTCCCCAATACCAATTAAAGCAGAATGTCTCAAGGTGGCATTTAAAAATGCCCAGGTGATTCCAATATTCAGCAGAGTTTGGGAACCGTTGCCATATTTCCCAAGGCTTTATCAAGACTAATGTTAACATCAGGGGATTATCCTGAGCACCATACGGGACTAGAATTTGCTGAAACTGGAGTTCAAGTGTTAATAAGGTGAGGTCCTTATTACTTTGGTTATCTCCCATCTCCACTTAAACCGTTTTGCAATTAATTTCTTCAGTAATCAAATGGAGGTAATAGTTACTTCATAGGTGTGAGTGAGGACTGGCTGAAAATTTGGAAAATAGACAATACGTGTGTCTGGCGGACATCAGGACTTTATTAATGTTTTGAAAAGTCTTCCCTTGTTGGAGGACACTCTCAGGACCTGCCTCACCCAACTCTCCCTCTGAAGGTAGCTTCTCATTCCCAGAGGCACCCAAGCATACTCCCCTCCAGGCCCCGCCCTTTCTGCTCTTTCCACTCTGGCCCTCCTCACACTCAACTGTTGTCAAAGAACGGCCAGACACAGGGGACTTTCTCAGATCCATGATCACAAGGATATGTTACTCGTGAAAGCTACAGCAAAAAGCAACGGTAAGAGGAGCTAACGCAGACGATTAGGGTTGACAGCAGGAGAACTGGGGAGAACAGAGTAGAAGACAGTGCAAAAAATAGGTGGAACTGGGTGGGTTTAGAGTTGAGAAAATTATGGGAAGGAAGTTATTCAGCAATAGGAATGAAACAGTCAGGCATGGGCACTTTTGAGCATCTCTGTATAGCTCTGTGGTAAGTACTCTGACAGATTCAGGAGGACTAGGAGATCAGAGCCCTGCTAACAAGGAGCTGATGGAAGTAAAACAAATGGGAATAGTTAGAGAACAGTTCAATGCCAAACCCCGAGAGCTAAAATGCTCAGAAAGGGCTTCCTTGGAGCGCTGTACCTCCAGCTGGACCGTGCAGGGTCAGCGTGATTTTAATAGCAGAGTGAAGGAAATCAAATAATCTAATGGTGGGGGAGCAAAGTCAGGGGAGGGGGCTGTAGGAATCTGATTACCCTCTGCTACTTTCTCTCTCCTCTTACTCTGTAGAAGTCAGAGCAAAAGATGTAAAGGGACTATTACCCCTGATGATACTAATGGTGATAATTTTCCTGCTGATTCTATTCTGGGAAAACGAGCTGTATGAGGAAGTAGCGGTGTCAACCATAGAGCACTTGCATGTGGACTACCCTCAGAGTAACATTCGTGTAAGGTACTGCAATCACATGATCATACAAAGATTCATCAAGGAACCTGACAGCACCTGCAAGAAGGAGCACGTCTTCATCCATGAGAGGCCTCGAAAAATCAATAGTGTTTGCACTTCTCCCAAGAAGATGGCTTGCCAAAACCATTCCAGCATTTTATGCTTCCAGAGTGAGACAAGGTTCAAAATGACGGTCTGTAAGCTCATTGAAGGTGTCAGGTATCCTGCCTGCAGGTACCACATTTCCCCGATGGAGGGATTCATTCTGGTCACTTGCGATAATATAGGGCCAGTTACTTTCCAGAAATATGTTGAATAACTTGAGACCAGCGCCTGGGTCTGAAACCCTCTCTTGTCCTCTGTCAGGGACGTTGGTGCTGGTTCTTTCCGACGCACTCCTGACCTGTGAATGGTGGGTAAAGCCTTGAATGAAATGGGTAGCCACCGGTAACTCATTTATCCTTCTGGTATTGCTGAGCTGAAATCTTCTTATTCTGCTTCAACTATAAAACTCTACCGAATTAAACCAAAAACTATGCATGTGTTTTAACTTCTTGTCCCTTTTCTTTGGGTCACTTGATGACAGCCAAGAGTGAATACTATGCAGGACTGGAATTAGGATAAGGTGAGCGAGGCACTCACTTCACATGCAAATTTTAAGGGGCACCCTCCCCCCAAGTAATCTAGATAAATATTTTTTAAAAGTAAAATTAATGCAAATATCCCGGATGGAAAAAAACAGGTGAATTTTAAATCAAGACGCAATCGGACAGGGTCGGATTTGGGCCGATGCGGGGCACCTGAACTGCGCCCATGCAGGCTCAGAGCCTGTTATTTCAGTTTTTGAAATTTGTTCACTGGGGATTGTTTTGAATTTATTCAAAATAAATTAATTAATTTAATTTAATTTTAAACATTGCATTAAAATATTACCTTGATTACTGTGGGGTTTTTTTTTGGTTTTTGGTTTTACCCTCTTAACTTCTGTGCCTAGAGCAAACACCTCAATTGTTTCACCCTAATCCCAGGCTTGGTCCTGAGCGCAGAGGCAAGGGGGGTCATCTCTCAAAATTTTCTGTAAAGATGGCATATATAACTCAAGCTGTATCTGCTCCTAGTCAGCATTGCCCTCTTAGCCTTGAAAGAAAGGGCAAAAGACATCAGAAGGGAACAGACCCGGCAGAAACCATTTCCCTGGAAGACTGTGGAAAGAAATGGATAAGGGTTTCGGAGGGAGAAATTGACTCTCTCAGAGCACAGAGTATCAGCTCTTCATATCCCCGGAGGAAACAGAAAGGACTTCGACTCGGACTATTCCTTTTGACTCGGACTACTCCTTTCTTTTTTTAGTTTTTGCAACTGAGCTGGTTGTTTAGTTCTTTCACATTCAACTATGGTCAGAGTATCTTTAGAGTTAGAGGGCAAAGGGAAAGAGAGGCTCCTAATTCTGGGAATTTGATGAAGTCCTAGTCCTCTCAGAGCCTTAGTTTTCTCATCTGTCAAGTGAGAGGGCTTGAACCAGATAATCTTTGAGGTTCTCCTCAGGCCTATCACATCACAATTCTATTTTTTAGTAGTATAGGAATTAGCCTTGTTGATGGGGATGGTTAGTAATGGGGAATAGTAAGAAATAAGGGGTATTTGGCAAGTAAGTGCCAGATTGTGGGAAAACCAATTCTGAACTATAACATTTCAATGCTGTACATGAGAGCCAGAAACTCAGAGCAGGCACCAGCAACGCATGAGCTTCAGAGGGACCGATCTGTTCTGATCTTTTCAGTTGAGAGACTTCAGTTATTGCATTATTTATTTGTACTTAATTCAATGTCGGATCAAAAAAATAGGCTTACCTGTGCTAGTCGTTAACTCTTTCTTTTGTAAGCATCAAATTCTAAATGATGGATTAGATTATGGAGGGGAGAGGATGACTAAGGTGAGTAAAGGACACTTGTAAGCGGGCAAGGCTCACCCATGCGGGCTGGCCCTTTTGCAGTTGAGTTTCATTACCCATTTCTCTGTGGCAACCCCATTGTCACTATTCTGTTCATGGAAGTTTGGATGCCACCCAGGGAGCAGAGCCCTCAGCATCTGAAGATGCTGAGCAGGAGCAGGTCATCCCTAGTATATGACTTGTTGAGTCCTGCTAGCAACATCATTTCTTGCACAAAGCTTTAACTTACTAAAATATGTCCCTTAAGGCCCACGTGTCTATGTTCTGAATTCTGATTCCTTTTCCTACTCTTCTCCCTAGGCTTTATTGTCCTTTCTTTCCCAATGATTTTTCTTCCTTTCCTCACCTAACCTCCCTCTACTAATTGAAAACAAAATCATGCATTCCTATTGAAGTGTGTCCATATGTAACTGAGACTGTTCACTGGAAATTATCCTCAGAGTATTTTTATTCAGTGGGGATCAAAGCCCAATTGAAATGAGTTGTGACATTTTAGACATGTGTAGTTTGGGTCTTTTTTGCTGTTGTTGTTTTTGTTTGTTTGTTTTCATGGACACCTAGCAGCCCAAATCAAACCCAGGGAGGTGTTAATTCTATCCACTTGAAACACATGTTTCAGGAAAACTGGGAATCTCTATGCTGTTCTTCCTCTTATTTTTCTCCTTATTATTTTTCTGTATCCCTATTATCACCTCACTATTGACCTTGAAGGTAGCTGATGTTTAGGAAACAACCAAAATGCTTCTTCCCTCCTCCTTTCAACCTGCACCATGCTCAAGGCACAAATATGAACACATTCATTTAATTCTTAATAATTTATTAATACACAATCAACCCAATTATTAAAGCTTCTTTGTTTTTAGTACTGGGTCTCTGCTCTCATTTGACACACAGGACTTTTTAAAATTAAATATAATTGAAAATACAGGTCCATGTGTACTAATGTCAATTGAGTGGTATAAGAAGTGCATGGTAAGCTCAGAGTTGTGAGAAATGGATTTGGTAAGCTTAAGTAGTGAGAAAATATATTTTTTAAAAAAAGAATGGGACATGAATTGGGCTTTGAAGGATTTCAAGAAGAGTGTAGTGTGGGGTAGCTCAAGACACGGCCTCTCCACCTCAGAGAACAGGTGGCTGCCTGGCCAGCAGCCAGGAGGAGTAAGGGAAACAGGCTGCATCTGGAGTCCCAGCTTTCTCAAGGCCCCTGTGCTTATCACAACCCTGTAGCATTTTCACAGGCTACCATGGCGCCCTCCCCGCTGCCGCGGCCCCTCCCTGACCCTATAGGTAGCACCAAGACTGCAGGCACGGGCGGTTTCTCCCCACTGACCAGCTGCCATCCTGGCACTCCCCTGTAATGCGAGAAATAAACAGCATGTCCACATCTGCTGGTCCTTGGGCGGTGGGGGCGGGGGACGGGGGTTGGGACTCTCACGAAACTTAAGCAGCTCCCTGGCTTGGAGCTCCTGTGTTACAAGTAAGCATTCAAGAATAAAGCAAAAATGGAGAGATGGAATAGAGTGTATTCCAAGAGAGTGGGTCACACTGATTTGATGAGAGCCAGTTTACATACCAAAATAATGTGAGATGAGCCTTGAGAAGTAGGTTGAGATGAGATCAAGTAGAGAGCCCTGGCTAAGTGGCCTCAGGGGATCCCATTACCTCCTGTGGGCAATGAGGAAGAGTTGAAGGTTTCTGAAGTAGTATCATTGCAAGTGGTGTTTTAGAAAAGTAAGGCATTGAAGGAATTGGAGGGGTAAGGAGTGGCGATCAGGGTGTAAGTAAGTGTGATAATGCAGGAGCTACAAGCGTGAGGGAAGGAGGCTCTTAAAGGTGAGAGAAAAAAAATGAGATCTTTCTAGAGCAAGAGAATGATTATCACCCTAAATAACCCTTCTTTCTAGGATTCTCAATATGAATTTTCCAGCATTGACCTTAAGCACAGAATTTTCTACCCTAGTCAAACCATGTTACATTGTTAACAAACATTGCTGAGAAACTAGTATATACACAGTTCAGTGTTTGATTCTATACAGAATAAAAAGAAGCAGGAATTATATTCCAGTCTCAAGGAATTTTTAGCCTCAGTAAGAGGGAGAAAAGACTAACATGTATACACCAATTTGAAAAATAAAAAAAGACCATAAAAACTGAAGTGCAATATAATCTATGCTATAGGGGTTTCAAAGAAGGAAAAAAAATCACTTCGGGTTAAATATGAATAAAGCAAAGGAAGATTTCACAAAAGAGGAAGCGGTGATACTGCCCAGGTCACGGCGATTCTGATAGCCAAATGGACACTTTGTTTAGCCCTCTGACCATCCTTGGTTCCAAGTTATTTCCTCCTTTGATCTCAGACAATTTTATCTACCCCATTTTTAGCCTCTCCTTTCCTCAGTTAGACCCAATAGTAAAAACTTCTGGGAAACAAATACAATGTTGCTTCTTGCCCTGAAGCAAGCTAGAAGCTTTCTCCACAGGATCAACTTTGCCAAAGGAACTGGTAAAGACAGATATTCCATGACTGAGAATTGGTGGGAAAAGAAATGGGGGAAAATAAAATTGTGGTTTTTTCAAGTGGCTACCACGTGGCAGGAACATGTGAGGCTGTAGAAGATGTAGCAATAGTGACAGTGTGTTGAGTGAGATTCTTGTGACCTTTTTGAAAATTACAGACCCTGCCAATGAGATTACAAAGAGAAAAGGGAGAGAAATAACTATTTGGTTCTGTACATTTTAAACATATTATCTTATGTAATTCTCACATTTTCCTTTTTTTAATATGGGGAAACTGAGGTTAGTTAAATGAGATAAATTGTTTGTTAGTGAATAAGCAGGGATTTGAAGCTGGATTCAGACTCCACAGATGATTGTCTTTTCACATATTTGTGCTTCCATTAACAGCTGTAACACTCTTAAATTATACAGAGGGGTCAGTCCTGGAAACAACTGTTGTAAGGAAAAGAGAGCCATCTCCTTAATATTCTCCTTATTTTTATCTTTTACTTTTTACTTTACTGCAGAAGAGGTTACTCTAGATCTGAGATGGAGACCTCCCTGCTGCTACTCAGCCTGGGCTTGGTTCTTGTAGGATCTTCAGGAAACAAAATGGAGACAACTGAAAAAAGAATTCTCAGAGGATGAGATGGGATATGACTTGGCAGGCAGTGCCCAAGAAAAACCTACCATTGAGGTATAAATGAACTCAACTTTGTTATCTAAAAACAACAGCTTGAGCACATCCAAGGATGTTATATCTTCATCATTGACATTCAGAAAATTACATGACAGCTTCCCCAAGGGAAACAGTCCAGGTAATGACAAAGAGTATTACAATGACATGACAATCTGGAGAAGAGTTTCACAAGCTAATGGGTCATGCAAGTTGAGTGATTAACTCTGTTCTTGGCTCCATGGAAGTGACTGGTGGGGTCCCCAAGGCCCCCAGGTGTGAGTGTAGACAGAATCTTGGCATAAGCTGCTCTGAGAGCCCAGAACTGGAAACCACTATGGGCCAGCTCAGTACAGCAAATAGTTCCCCAGGTGCCAAAACCAGTGTTACCTCATTAAAGGATATTGGTAGTGCTAACAGGTAATTCTCTGGTGAGCTGGTTAGTTAGTGGCTCTAAGTTGTAAATCCCACAGGATTGTGAGATGATACTCTAGCCAAACAAGAACATACGTATTATCACTATTGTTTATTGTCTTCTGTTATGTGCATCTACCCTTTTTGCACTATAGTAAACTCCTGATTATTTATACTAACTGAAAGAATGAAAAAATCCAAAATCGTGGATAATTTGATTAAAATTTATAACTGATCTTGGAGTGCAAATATTTTCTCATTCACACACACACACAAACACTTTCTTTCAACTAAACTGAATTCTATCCTCACTTAGCTATAAAGCCAAGGACAGAGTTCACCCCGCTTGATAGGATTAAGGAAAGAAGGCCTCATACCAATATAGATAACTAAAAATTAATTGTACTGCTACTGAGATTATTCAGAGGAATAGTGAATGAGCATAGGGGATATTATTATCATTGGTTGTCTTCAAAGAAGTGTGTGCATTGATGCACGCACACAACTGTGGGCACCTGCCTGTGCAGCCAGAGGTCTGCTTGTCCTCCAGAAGATGCCGGAGGAAAAAGATCCATTGCCTTAGCTGCTGCCGTCAGTCAACAGCTCCAGCCCTATGCAATCTTTGTTCCTCCTTCCTCATCCTTATCTATTCCACAGGTTCCTGCAGAAGGAAGAAATAAAGGACCTATTGAAATTTTTACTCAAGTGTACGCTTGATTCCCCAGGGCAGAGAACAGCAAGCCACGAAGGAATAGAGTGGCAGTAAGATGGAAATAAGAAGTTTATGTCAAGTTAGGCAGAATTAATCCTCAGTCTTGTTTTCTGATATTGTAGTGATTTTTTTAAAATTATCAGTTGTTTATCTGTTAGTCTTTATGGTTCAACACTCTACATAAAATATGGGCGGTTATTTATTGGGGACCACTTTGTGTGGGGTCAGAAACTGTAGCCCCATGTAAGCGAGGCCCTGAAAGAGGCCTGGAATCCTTGACTGGAATGCCAAGAATGCAGGATGCAGGCATGATCCTATGCTAGCACTGAGGGTTCCCTGAGAAATCAGGCCTGAAGAATGCATTGTCCCCTTTGAAGCACGCTTTGCTTTGTACAGCTCTGTGAATGTAAACCAGATGTTTAAGCTCCAAACAGAAGGAGTGAATTCCTGAATTCAAGAGCCATGCCTTAAGGACCATCTGGCATCAGCTTGTCTAACAGACCCTGACCTGAGGCAAATCTCTGTGTTCCTTCCATTGTTATCTATGAACCATACCTGTTTTCTGTAACTATAGCCTTTAGGCATTGATTGGTAAGCTTTGCATGCATGCTGTATACCCCTGCACATACCAATTCCAATAAAAGTCACTTCAGGGAAGGGTTCAGCACATTCTCCACTAAAGGGAATCACCATCCCCTTTCCCACCAGACAGACTGTGTCCGGGATGACTCATTTCTTCATCTGCGACCGGGAGAACTCTGCGGGTTGGGGTTCCCCTCAGTTATTGTTCATTCATGTGTGCCTATGTATTCCTGTTTTCTCATCTTACACCCTCCTCCATCCTGAGGCCACTGTTTTTTAATGATATAAGTTTAAATAAATGCATGTGAATAAATGTTACATCACTAAAATCCTTGTAGGTCACTCTCTATATTTTCCTAATGTTTATCACATTTGGTGCAGAATTCTCATTATATCAAGACTGCAAAACTCTGACAATCAGCCAATATGCAGCATAAGGCAGATATCTTTGTATCTTTTAGCTGGATTTTCCTTGTCAGTGTGGTGGCTGTTAAAATAAGCACTTAGGTTTGGCCAAATAGGTGTGTAGTTAGTACCCAATTTGCACTTGACAGCCAGGAGAGAAAGTGAAAGAGGGAAATGCCTGGGGCACAAAGTTCTCTTCTCTGTAAGAGGAGAACCCAGGGCCAGGGAAGGAAGATGTACTCACTGGGTTCCATTCCAGGGACAGTTCTACGTGGTGTGGCTGGTGCCACCACCCTCTCATCAACCATGGGGTGGGCTCTATCTATGGTCGAGCAGTCCAACAGGTCTCCTCTTGGTTCATATTCGAGTAACTTCTTTCCCACAATAGAATCCTACTGTAGAATCCAGTTCTGGGTGATGGGCATGTCAGCCCCAGAGACAAAAACTCTTCAAACTCTGGGCAATGTTTTTGGTAATATGTAAGAAAAAGCAAATCTAGACTATTTCACATCTTAGTACAGGTTCCTTCCTTCACCAGGAGAGAAGAGTAAAGACCAGGAATAAATACCTCTTTCTACGTCAGGAGCATCCTCTAAAGATCAAACCTTTGCACTCCTCCAAAGGAATCAGGAGTTCTGGTACTCTATTCCAGGCCTTTGGTACCCTGACCTCCCAGGACCCATCTAACCATCATGCTATGAGGTCTGAAAGATGTCAAACGTAGAGGTGCCGCAGAGAGCCAGGGCTCCTCAGCGCTAGCACTTCTCCCCATCAAAGCCTGTCGCCCCTTTGACATGATGCGCCTCCTAAGGTCCCTCATGATGACAAGAGGCAGGGGATTTATGATTTTAAAACAGTGTTTTCATAATGTTTTGTTTGGGGTTTTTCTTTCCTTCTACTTCCACACTACAGAGGGCTCTTTTTTTCTTATAACTTTACACATAAACTTTCCTGGCTGGCTTTCAAGGCTGCTGGCGCTCCATTCTCTTCCTGCTGAGCCTGTCACCAGCACCTTCCCAGTCTCTGGTGTTTTGAGGCTGCTCTCTTCACAGTCCACAGAACTTGGGCCGTGGTCTTCACCCCTTCGGTGGGCGGACCTTGATGCCCTTTTTCTTCCTTTTCCCATTGTATCATCTCAGCCCATGCAATCTCACAAGCTCCACATGACTAGAAATAGTCCCCAAAGTGCCCCTTTTACATGTTAGGAAAATAACCGAGAGGTAGATATGTGTCATATCCCTGCATCTGAAAGGAAACTTTAGAGGAAGGAAACGAGGTGATGAAGGAGACAGATCTCATCATGAGGGAGATGGAAAGGCGAGTCAGGCTGAGAAAGAAAGTTAGGAATGGAGTGCTACAGAGGTTTGAGGAAGGGATACTGAGAAGGGTTATTTAGCATCAGAGAGACATCCTTCTTGTCACTAACCATTCCCTCTATTTTCCCAATATAAAGTACACTCAATTTCTCTAATCAACAATTCTGCAGTGAAACAAGTCCCAGGCCTCAAGTGTCCAGGATGTTGCTGAAGTAAGAAGAGAGCCTTTGCAACATTGTAGGTAAATTTTCATGTTTTATCGACTCAATATGTTCCAGTAAAAACAGTCGTTTCGTACCACTGGATATCAATTTCCTTATCTATCCAATGCAAAGGTTGCATTAGATGTGGGGTCACGGACTTGGGTGTGTGTCAGGGTCACTGTGGGGAAGCTCTCAGGTTGCCCACCCCAAACCACCCTCCTCATTTTCAAGACAAAGAGGTATTTGTGAGGCACAGGGTCCTTTCCCAGGCTCCCTGAGCAGAAGTGGTATGTGCTACTTCTAGGCCCATGACATTGGACTAGCCTCCTCTGTGATTTTTTTTCCTTCCCAACAGCTAGATCTCCAAAAATGGGCTTGAGTGTGACTCAACCTGGGTAATGTACATGATGGTAACATCGTAGGAATGGCCTGAACAGCAGAAGGAAGGAACGCCACATGCCTGAACTCATGCGTGAGGCAGTGTCACCTTGCCAACCTAGAGTACTCATCCTGGGACTGTTACAAGAGATAGAAATACACATGAATATTTTTAAATCTACCCTACTTTGAGATTTGGTTCCATCAGCTTAGCCTTATCCTAACAAATTTAATAACTTTAAGAGCTGTTATTAAATACAAATTCCTGGGCCTTGATCCAGAAGACTTAGGTTCTATAGCATGTAGGTTGTTTAGAAGGATGTTTGGTTTGCTGATGTGCACCAAAGTGTGAATACTGCTACAGTATATGAACTAAAGGAGAACATTCTGATTCCAGACCCAGTTAGGGGGAAAAAAAGTTGCTGCTGTTGTGTTCAGGGCTTTCAAGAACCGCACTGGGACAAAACAAGTCAATGCAACTCAGAGAGCATCCACCCTTCACCCAGTGTCCAGAAGTAGCAAAGCAGGGGACCCCCAAACTCCCTAGCCATGGATACATCTGGGAGCAAATGCAGTGCACTGGGTGCTGGAATAAGGTTTCCTTTTAAAATAGTGGCTGAGAAGTTGGCAGAGGTGTCACACACATGAAATGCATCTTTCGTACTCCAGCAATTGGAGAACAGGAAGGATTGGGGTGACTATTTAACATCCCTAAGTCTTCATGGTTGTAAAGTATGTAAAACTTTGTCAAGATCATATATAATTACCACAAGAATGATTGACAGGTAATAACAATAATTAATGACAACAACTGAGCTCTTATGATGTGCCCGGCACTAAATATATATGTATATTCTCAGGACAGCTTTCATGAGGTAGATTATTATTATCTCCACTTCAGTAATGAAGAAGCTGAAGTACAAAGACTTTAGGTAATGTACAAAGTCACGCAAATGGTACCTCAGGAAGAAACAAGGACACTCTGATTCCATAGGCCATGCTTTTCGCCACTCACCTTTATTTGCTAGAAAAAAGCAAACCTGCCCATAATTATATAGAAAGATAACGGTGGGACACTCCTGAATAAACGCCACCTCACAGGATTGTTTGAGGATTGAATGATAGCTGTTATTATCATTATTTTTATTATGATTAGATCAGGACACTCTGGTAAGCACACAACTGAAGAGAAACAGTGGCAATATATATGGCTGACAAAGGGTTGATATCTTTAATCTATAAAGAGGCCTGTCAATTTAATTAGATAAAATGAAAATGCCTACAGAAAAATAAGCAAGGGACACAGGCAGAAAATTCACAAAAGAAAACAATAAATAGTCATTAAACATTGGGAGTTGTTTCCTTCCTACTAAAGGTGATATAAATAAAGACAATGTAATATCATTTTTAATGTGCCCAATCCAAAGAAATAAGGTATAAAAAATAACATAGTG